GCTTGGATTTGATAATCATGTCATCAATGTACGCCTCCACATTCCTCCCAATTTGATTAATGAAGACCGTGTTAATCATCCGTTGGAAGGTAGCAGGCGCATTCTTCAACCCAAACGACATCAGCGTATAACAGAACAACCCTTGATCAGTGACGAATGTCGTCTTCTCTTGATCTTTTTTCCACAAGGGTATCTGATGGAAGCCTGAGTAGGAATCCATGAAGCTCAACAAAGCATGACCGACTGTGGAGTCGACTAGACTGTCAATCTTTGGAAGTGGATAGCTATCCTTTGGACACGCCTTGTTTGGAGCTGTGTAATCAACACACATCCGCCAAGTCCCATTTGGCTTTTTGACAAGGACAACATTGGCTACCCAATCCGGGTAGTAGCATTGCCGAATGAACCCGGCATCCAGTAGTTTCTTGACCTCGGCGGATGCCGCCTGAGATCTCTCCTCACCGTGGTTCCTTTTCTTTTGCCTAACTGGCTTCTTTTTTGGATCCACGACATGTTTGTGGACAACAAGATCTGGGCTGACGCCTGGCATCTCTTCCACTTCAAAGGCAAAGATGTCTTTGAATTCTTTCAGCAGGTGGTGCAAGTCTGCACCCAACTTTGCAAAAGGAACCGTCCCCACTTTTACGGTCCCCAGCCGGGTAGGGACAGAGATCCTCTGATCGCTCCCCAATCAGTGATTGTTATTGCTTCTCTTTTTTGGAGGCCACCAGATGGTCCGCCTTTCTCTTTTTGCCGGCTACTTTGGGAGCAGGCGCGGCTTCCTCGTCATCAAGGTCCATGGGCTCCTCGTTATGGCCGGCTGCAATACCAATCGGCTTGACGTCTGAGAGGTAGCACTCCCTAGCTGTCTTCTGGTCCCCGCTCAGGGAACCCATTGACCCGTCATCCCTCTCAAACTTAATCAACATGAAGGATGGGATGATGACTGACTTGGACTCGTTGAGGGTAGGACGGCCCAAAATGAGATTGTAGGCGGTCAATTCCTCGACCACCAAAAACTTGACGACCACATGTCGTCCTGCCCCCTTCTCTCCAAGCCGGATGGGTAGGTCAATCCTCCCCACCGGATGCACTACTCCTCCCCCAAAGCCGACTAGGGGGTGAGAAGCCTTATGCATACTGCTAGGCTTATACTTAAGCTTTGCAAAGCACTGATAGTTGATCAGGTCAGACGAGCTCCCGGTATCGATGAGGATCCGGCCCACTCGTTGGTTGGAAACCTTGCATTCGATGACAATTGGGTCATCATGGGGCCGCCTAACCATACCCCGATCCTTCTCAAAGATGAAGACCTTAGGGAAATTGTTTTTCGATGCCTGGCCCTCATCCTGTGGGTTGGATAGTTTCCGGATGTTATCCTTGGTACCCTGGATGGTAGGACCACCCCTCGCGAAGCCGCCTGCTATAGTGAAGATGTGCTCTTCATCAGTGTCAGAGCTCACAGCCGGCTTCTTTGACGGTTGTCCGTTATTGGTTTTGGGGTTACCCTTGGACTTCACCAGGTAGGATGTCAAAGCCCCCTCATCAGCCTGACGGTCCAATAGCCGCCTGAGGCTATAACAACCATTGGTGTCATGGCCAAGATCCTCATGGAAGTGACAGTATCTGCTCTTGTCACGGTTCTTGATAGAACTCTTCATAGCAGCCGGTTTTTCAAGAGTTAACCGGTCTTTGATCTCCATGAGGATGGAGGAGTAGTCCTTTTTGAACTCGTACTTTGGGACGTACATCTCCAATTTTCTCTGTTTCTTCTAGGACGGCTAATCGGAGTGATCCGCCGCCTAGACTTCTTTTCTTTTCTTGCCCTCTTCTTTTTTGGCCGGCTGGGCAGGCCGGCTGTTTCTCTTGTTGGGTCATCTGGGCTCCGACGAGTGCTTGATGGCACAGAGCTTCGTCGCCTGTATATAGTCTTTGGCTTCCATCAGCGCCTCTTGGAGGGTGGCAACCCTCTTGCGGACCAGGTTGAACTTGAAAGTCGACGCGTCCTTCAGACCCTTGAAGAAGTCTATGTATGCAACTTTGTCAGACAGCCCCTGAATCTGAATTCTCATCAGATTGAACCGCCTGACATAAGACCGTAGTCCCTCCTTGTCTCCCTGCTGAATAGCCCCTAGATCAAGACTCGTCTTTTTGGCAGGGATGTTCACGGAGAAGTTGGACGCGAACAGGTATGCAAACATCTTAAAGTTGTTGATGCACCCGGCTGGCAGGTTGCCAAACCATCGTTGGGCTATGCCCTTCAATGTGGCCAAAAAGCATATGCACTAGGCGGCGTCTTCTAACCCCTGTAAGTACATGAGGTTGGTGTAAGCCATTAGGTGGTCTTCCGGGTTGGTGGTACCATCGTAGGTACCGACCAACACATTCTTAACCTTGGTCGGCTGAGCCGCCTCGGTTATTTCCCGGGAGAAAGCCGAAGGCTGTTCCCCAAGGTTGAGCAGCCGGAGCTGCCAGTCCATAGGCTGAACCTGCTGTGCCGTCTGACCCCCAAAAGGAGACGGCTGCATGTATGGTGATTCATACGGCATGTATGGCTGTTGGGGCACATACGGAACCGGCTGGATGATGTGAGGGCCAATGCATGCGGACATGCCGCATGACTGATTCCCTTGATGTGTCTCCGAATGCTTCATTGAAGTATTGTAGAAACTGTCTGGGTAAGTCGACGTTGAGGCCGACTCAGACATGTGTTGACTTCTCTTCTCCTGGATGAACATCCGAGCGTCAGAGTAAGTCTTTTTTGACCTATCCGGCTGAACTTGCCGAATGGCCTTCCTTTGCCCTGATTTTAGGAAACGAAGTGTGGAGAGGTCGATCAGGGTCCCATCCGCCCCCTTTAGTTTAGGGTGAGGAGTAAGCACCCGGTCTTTGAGTTGCTTTCCCGGAGGGCGAATGCTTTGGTTTAGACTGACTCTTGTTTGAGCCAGTTGACTTCTTGATGATGTCCTTGATTTCCCCCTTGAAACTGGTCATGAATTTTATGAGCTCGTCTCTAGTGACGGGGGATGTGCCCTCCGCCGCCTAGGGTTGCCCAGCAGTTTTGCCAGCTGGGTTGCTGGGACCAGCTTTGTCTTGGCCCTGTCTGGGGCCACAAAGGTGTCGACCTCATAGTCGTCACCACTATCGTGGTCCGTATGGACCTCAGGCTCGGCCGAAGGACGTCTGCCCTCAGGCGGTACAATGTCAGATTCCATCTTAGAAGTACTCTCCCCATAGACGGCGCCAAATGTTTCGGGGGTTTTTAGAGTCCCTCGGGAGAGTTACAATTCAAGGAATGCGCGCCTGACGTCTGTACCTGCAAAACCACGAAACTCCGGTTAGGTGGAGTTCCGCCTCCGACGATTAAGTTAGTACATCTCCGGATGTAGAAAAGTGCGGAAAGTAAATGGGTTTTTCTCTCTGATTCAGAGAGATTCCGCAGTTAATCTTGCTCGGTTTTTTGTGTATATTTGTGAATGTAATAAATGAGGAATTTCTTCTATTTATAGCAGATGAAGGTCTGCTCCCCCATTAGGGTTACAATGCCACGTGTCAGCATCCGATTGGATCCCATTGATCATGTGAATTGATCGAAAGCATGTTATTATGTGGTTAGGAATGAGTGAAATTGTTCGATTGAATATTGAACCTAATTCATGCAAAAAGTGTATTGTTTTATTTTTGGGGAAATGAATTCCTTTCTAAACCTTTTCCTTTTCAAGATGCCAATTCTTCCTATCAAGTTTCCCCAAATTTGTACTCTAATCAAGAAAGACTATGAACATCCGTTTGACTATGTCAACAAAACCCAATTCTATTGTTCCCACATAATCAATGTCTTAGGAGACAAGCACTATGATCTTCCTGATCGTGTTTCTGCTATGTATTCACTGTCTTCCAGATGAACCCCCATATCTTGCTGTCAAAGAAAAATTCTCTGATTTTTATTTACCAGGAGCATTCCAAACTACTCTAAGTACAAATATTTCTATGGACAGTGGTACCCTAACTACAAATACTTGATTTCTTACCTTGTTAAAGTTGAGAAAGATTATAGCCAACACTTACATATTTCATTTCCCAACTACTACTATAATATTTCAGCAAGGAATAATTCCCCTTCCTCTAGTCATCAGTTAAGAAAATCTTCTCCCACTCAGGGTAATCAAGCAGGGTCATATGGAGGGCAAGAAGAAAGAGATATGATGGATGAGAGTAACCATACTGTTGATAGTTCCATTATGGAGATTCCGAATCTAAATCAACCTCCAACTCTAATTATAATTGATATATTATCAGACGATGAGGAAGATGAAGAGTTTGTCTAAGTAGAGCAAGAACCAGAGTCACTTGAACCAATGGAGGAAGAGGATGACCTTGAATTCAATCCTGGAAGCTACAAACAATCTACCTACAGGAAAAAAAAAGTTCGAAAGGACTAGATTTTGTAGTTTCATTTCATTTAGGATTCTTAGATTCGTTTCTACATTTTAATTATTCCAGTTTCAGTGAAACAATAAGTGGCATGTCCACAGTGAATTAGTAAACTTATGTAGTTGCATAAGTTATTTAGACTCATTTTATTTCGGTATTCCATTCATTTTCTTACTCATCAATAAAATTTCATTTATTTCCTTGTCAATTAATTCATTTTATTGACAAATGATTTATTTCGTTCCCAAATCATTTATTTCGTATCATTATTCCAAGAAGCCATTTCTTACTCAAAAATATTCCAATGATTTATTTCTAATTTTTGGGAATCCATGGGAATTATTTTTATTTATAAATGTGATGCTTTATTAAATGTGTGGTTAGTTAGAAATCAATATTTGGTTGACAATGCTGCAAATTTTGGGAATTTTAATCCCAATTTTGTTAGCTTAAAATTTAATGTGTTTATGTCAAGGGTGTGAGTTAGTTGGTTGAGTGTCTAACTTGAGAGCTAGCCAAGACCGTTTTTAATAAAGACCTCTTTGTTTTAATTCAGGCGAAGAAAGATGGCGGGAGGGAGTGGTAACAATAATGATGGAGGAGAACTAAGTGAAGTTGTTAGGCAGTTGGCTGCTGTTGCCCAACAATTGGCAAGGAACTCAACCAATAATGTAGATGCTCGGGAGAGCTGTTTAAGAAGGTGGCGCAGAGCAAGCCACCGACCTATCATGAAGAGCCTAATCCAACTATACTGGAAAACCGGTTGAGGGAGTTTGAGAAACTGTTCGGGGCAGTAGGGTGTCTAGAGAACTCAAAAGTTGGTTGTGCTACCTATTACCTTAGGGGTGAAGCTAACCTTTAGTGGCAGCAAAATGAAGCTACCATTAAGGCATTACCTGGATTTGACTGGACTATGTTTCAGGAGAAGGTTAAGGACAAGTTTTACCCTAGCTTCTTACAGAAACAAAAGGCTGAGGAATTTTCTAATCTTGCAATGGGGAAAATGTCGGTCACTGAATACTACACCAAGTTTATTGAGCTGTCACGATTTACTAAAGAGTCTGTTCCTACAAAAAATTCTAAGGCTAGGAAGTTTGAGAGTGGTCTGACTACTGATTTGCAGTTAAAGCTGTGTGGTCAAGTATTTGAAACGTTGGATGAAGAGTATGGGAGACCTGCACATCTTTATGCGTTGGAGTTGATGTAAAGGAAAGAGCTAGCTAAGGTTGAAGGGAAAGAAAAGAGAAAAGAGGTGGGACAAAATTCTAGGAACCCGCAAGGTAACCAGAATAACTTAAAGAAGAAAAAGTACCACCATAACAACAACCACTTTAGCAACAACAATAATTTCCAAAGTAACAATCGTCATGGAGGACGGAACTTTAATGGAGCTAAGAACTCTAACCAGGGAAATAATAAGGATGGAAGGCGCTATTTTTGCAATAGGCGCAAGAATAACCACCCTGGTAGGGATTGTGATGGAAATTTGGTTACTTGTCGTGCTTGTAACAAGTTAGGACGCAAGGAGTATGAATGTTTCTCCAAGGATCCTAATCGAAACGAACAGGGCAATAATCAAGGAGGGGCTCAAAGAAAATTTCAGGGAAGCAACAACCACTCTGGGAACAAGGGGGCACAACAGAATGCGGCGAAAACCAATAATAATAATGGGAACAACATACAGAAAGGTGGAGCTGCAGGAAAGTTGAATGTTATGAGTAGGCATGAGGCTGATTCCACGAAAGATGTCATCACTGGTACCTTTTCTATAAACTCTATTCCTGTTAAAGTCTTGTTTGATTCTGGTGGAACTTTTTCTTTCATTTCAAAGGCCATAGTTTCAAAATTATCAAACTGTTTGAAAACCGTAGATGAGGTAGATTGCCTATAGTTATTCCTACTGGTGGGGTAGTAAAGTGTAACAAGACCTTTAAAGGTGTACCTTTAGAAATCGAAGAAAAAGCATTTCTATCAGATCTCATCGAGTTTAGGTTGAGTGACTTTGATGTCATTTTGGGAATGGATTGGTTGAGCAAGTACAGCGCAGAGATTAATTATCGATTGCAGAAAGTGAAAATGAGTACAGCTGATAATGAATTAATGACTTATTGGATGCATGGTGAAACCAAGTGCCCAAGGATCATATATGTGTCAAAATTGGCAAATTATATTAAGAAGGGGCATCTAGTGTATTTTTGTAGTGTGAGGAATATGGAACATGAAGAGACAACTAAGCCTGAAGATATAAAAGTAGTAAATGAGTTTCTGGATGTGTTTCCAGAAGAGATTCTTGGAATGCCACCCAAAAGGGCAATTGATTGCACAATAGAGCTAGTTCTAGGAACAAAGCCAATTTCCAAGGCACCATATCGAATGGCACCTGCAGAGATGAGTGAGTTAAAGGAGCAAATGGCAGGATTTATTAGAAAAGGGATACATAAGACCAAGTGCATCACCTTGGGGAGCGCCAGTGTTATTTGTGAAGAAGAAAGATGGAAGTATGAGGTTATGTATTGACTATAGGGAGTTAAATAAGGTCACCATAAAGAACAAGTACCCATTACCAAGAAGGATTAATGACCTATTTGACCAGTTGAGAGGCGCAACTGTGTTTTCTAAGATTGATTTAAGTTCTGGTTAGCATCAACATAGGATTGCAAAAGAAGATATTCCTAAGACTACATTTAGAACAAGGTATGGACATTATGAGTTCATAGTAATGCCATTTGGATTGACGAATGCTCTAGCAATTTTTATGGACTTAATGAATAGGGTGTTTTATCCATTTATGGACAAGTTTGTGGTAATGTTCATAGATGATATACAGGTGTATTAGAAGAGTAATGAAGAACATGTAGAACATCTGAGGGTAATTTTGCAAACACTAAGGGAAAACAAGCTTTACGCAAAGTTCTCTAAGTGTGAGTTTTGGTTAGAGAAGGTAGCATTTTTGGGCCATTTTGTGTCCAAAAATGGGGTAGAAGTAGATCCAGCAAAGATAGAAGCAGTGAAAGGTTGGCCTTTGCCAAAAACAGTGTCTGGCGTTAGGAGTTTCTTAGGTTTAGCAGGGTATTATAAGCGTTTTGTGAAAGATTTTTCGAAGATTGCTAAACTTATGACCTCTTTAATGAAGAAGGACAAGAAGTTAGAGTGGGATGACAAGTATGAGGAGGCATTCCAACTCTTTAAACAAAAGCGAATCATAGCACCAGTGCTTACATTTCCAGACGATAGTGGAGTTTATGATGTATATAGTGACGCATCCAAGAATGGTCTAGGATGTGTACTCATGCAAAAATGGGAAGGTGATTGTGTATGCATCAAGATAATTAAAGACTCATGAAGTAAATTACCCTACTCATGACTTAGAACTAGCTGCAATCATTTTTGGGCTAAAAATTTGGAGGCACTACTTGAATTGAGTGAAATGTAGGATTTATACAGACCATAAGAGTTTGAAATACATTTTCACTCAGAGGGATTTAAACTCACGCCAAAGGAGATGGTTAGAATACACGACGGATTATGACTTAGACATACAATATCATGAGGGGAAAGCAAATATAGTCGCAGATGCTCTAAGTCGTAAAACCAGTCATGGACTGAATACTTTCATAGTGGCTGATGAGTTATGCAGAGAAATGAGGAAAATGAATCTGGAAGTGGTAGAATAGGAAGTGCCAGCAGGCATACTTGCGAATCTGAGTATTCAACCAACAATATTTGATGAGATAAGGGAAAACCATACAGGAGATGTGAAGTTGGATAGAATTCGTGAGAAAATAAAGCAAGGAAAAGCCACGGATTTTAAAATTCATGAAGATGGGAGCTTAAGGTATAAAGGTCGTTGGTGTGTACCATAAAAATGTAAGGAGGTAAAGAGAAAGTTGATGGAAGAGTGTCACAATACACCATACTCAGTACACCCAGGAGGGGACAAGCTATATAAAGACCTGAAAAAGATATATTGGTGGCCCAGAATGAAGAATGAGGTTACAGAATTTGTGGCAAAATGTCTAACTTGTTAGAAAGTGAAGATAGAACACAAAACACCGCAAGGAACTGTGCAATCATTGGAAATTCCTGGATGGAAATGGGATTGTATTTCAGTGGATTTTGTGACTTGCCTCCCAAAGTCAAAGAGTGGAAATGACACCATTTGGGTAGTGGTGGATAGACTTACAAAATCTGCAGTGTTTATACCAATGAAGGAGACCTGGAAGATGGAGCAACTTGAAAAAGCTTACATCAAAAATGTGGTGAGATTACATGGAGTTCCAAAAGATATCGTTTCTGGAAGAGATTCTAGGTGTCTTTCAAGGTTTTGGAAGAGTGTGCAGGAAAACTTTGGTACAACACTTAAGATGAGTACAACATTTCACCCTTCCACAGATGGGCAAACTGAGAGAACCATTCAAACCTTGGAAGACATGTTGAGGGGTTGTGTTATAGATTTCCAAGGGGGATGGGAAGATAGATTAGACTTAATTGAATTTTCCTATAATAATAGCTACCATGCAAGCATTGGCATGGCTCCATTTGAGGCACTATATGGAAGAAAATATCGCAGTCCAATCTGTTGGAACGACATAAGTGAAAAAATGATTTTAGGGCCTCAAATGATTGAGGATATAGTTAAACAAGTAAAGGAGATTCAAGCTAAGATTCAAGCGGCGCAAGATCGCCAAAAGAGCTACGCGGATTTTAAGCGTAGCGAGGAGGAATTTGAGGTTGGTAACAAAGTATTGTTAAAGGTATCACCAATGAAAGGTGTAATGAGATTTGGAAAGAAAGGAAAGCTTAGCCCAAAGTATATTGGTCCATATGAAGTATTGCAAAGGATAGGTAAAGTGGCTTATAGGCTGGCCTTACTTATGGAGCTAAGTAAAGTGCATTATGTATTTCATGTATCTCAGTTAAGAAGGTATATCCCTGATAAGTCACATGTGCTACAACCTAAAACCATTGAGTTAAACCAAAGCTTAACTTATGAGGAAAAACCTGTCAAGATTCTTGACAGTAAAGTGCGTAGTACACGCAATAAGGAAGTTAAGATTGTTAAAGTGCTATGGTCTAACCAAGAGTATGAGGAAGCAACTTGGGAAACTGAGGATGAGATGAAAAAGAAGTACCCCGCGTTGTTTATGGTATGTTGAGTTACGGGTACGTAACTCGTGCTCTTTAAGGGGGGTAGAATGCGGTAGAATGAATTTCGCGCTTTTTCCCTATATTTTCAGTTATTTTTGTGCTTTTTGCAAATTTTTCCGGTTATTTCGAGTAATTTTTATTTCAAAGAGATGTTAAAGACAAAAGTATGACAAAAGAGTACATCAATATTATACAAAGTGAGGAAAAAGTTTGAATTTCGTTGCCCAAGTTTCAGTATGAAACTTCTTTTAAGGGGGGTAGACTGTAGTACCCCGTATTTTTATACGTATTTAAATTTAAATAATTATTTCATAAAGTATTTAAATAATTCAAAATGAATTATTTATGGTGTTTTCATTTATTTAAAAAGAATTATTTTAATTAAAAGTTTATTTTTAATTATTTAATAATCCTGAAAATATTTTGTTTCATAATTTGGAATTATTGGGGCATATTATTTTTAAAAAGATAATTTTTAAAGTCAATGGTATTTAAGGAAAGTCAAAATACTAGTTTGACTAGCAAAGAGATCATTAAGGGTAGTAAATGAATTTTTAGTAGGAGGGTTATTGAGAGGGGGTATAAATACCCACCATATGCCTAAGGTGGAGTGCACCCAAAGGTAAACTTTCTCTCTCCTCTTATTTTCTTTTCCCCTTAATTTTTCCCCATCCCCATATTTTTATTTTTGTTTCAATCACCACCCACACACCACCACCACAAATCGGCCGGCCACCCACACACGTCACCACCTTCCGGTGGCCACAACTACCAGCGCACGCCAACAGCGGTAGCCACCAGGCGGACGGGCGATAGCCGCCAAATCATGGTGGTTCGTGCGCACAATTCAAAAAAAATTATTTTTCTTTTTGATTTTAATTCAATCTACCCTAAATCTAATTATTGTGTTTGGGTTTTGTGATGATTTTATGATGTTTATTGATAAGTATTTTGTATATAAATTTTAAGATTTGGTTTTGAATTAAAAAGCCCCAAATTGAAAACCCTAGGTTTCTAAATTGATGTATATTGATGGGAATTGTTTATGGGTAATTTAAATTATTGAAATAAGTGTTTTAAAACACATTTACGACAATTTTAAATGGTTTAATAAAGATGGAATTTTTATGTATAAGCTATAATTATGTTTCTTGAAAGGATTTTTAATTACCCATTAATTGGGAATAAAAGTAAGGGTTTTTAATTAAATTTCAGCTTATTTTAGAGGGTTTATGAGTGATTTGAAGAGTGTATATATTGCTGGAAATTTGTGTGGAATAGGTATTAATAATTTTTTGTAATTTTGATTTGTATGAGACTTTCAAGTGAGTGATTTTATTTAGTCGTGGCGATTATGAGATCACATTCAAGGTACGTTCGCGTACTTGGTAATTACTTGAATATGTAGAAGCATGATAGGCTTTGTTTAATTAATTCCAAGAACTATCATGATAGGTGTTGGTTGAATTTGTTGATTGGATTGATGTTGGTGAATGATTTGTGATGTACGAATTATTTATGATGAATTGGTGATTGGAATTAATTATGTTGTCATGTTGATTATAAACCACACTTTTATTATTGGCATGATAGAGAGCATGTTTAATTAAACTAAATATTTAATTTGGTTTGGAATATGAAAAGGGAATTTTATTATGGTTCGTATAATTTTTATTAATGTTATAAGCATGAGGAAGGAGCTATTTAAGTGTCTATGTACAAAAGGATTAAATTATATTTTGGTGCCTTAGTACACTTAAGGTGTTCTAAACACCGAGGGATAGGATTTGTGGTGCTTTATGCGCTTAAGGTGTTATTTAACACCGAGGTAGTTTAAAAAGGATTCAACATTTAATTTATGTGGTCACTAATTATTCAAGAAGTAAATTGGTATGTTTGATTGCTTGAATGAGTTATAATGATTGATTGTGTTAAGGTTTGAAAGTCATTACCAAGTCTAATAATATGTAAACAACGTAAAGTGAAAGAGGTTACGCACCAAAACTCTTGGAACATATATACCTTGAGTATGAACATATGGGGGGAGTTATGCGACTTTATATTTGACCATAACTTCTACTGGAAGTACAAGACGCTGTATATTCCTTTTTATTATGCGCAGGAATTCCGCCACTTACGAGTGGTTTATTTTATATTGGCACGGTTAGCTCTCGTGTTAGTACCCCTTTATTGGGGCAGGGTAGGGAGGAACCCCGTTCGATGCGTAATCAAATTAAATGGACATTGGTAGTTGTCTAGCTAGGTGTTGAGTGTCTTGTATGCTTATAAACAGGTGCAACACGGTAAGTTGTGTGTTGATAGGATGAAAGCATGTTAGTGTGTTTTATTACGCCTATGTTTTCAGCATTGGTGATTGTGTGTTTATATGTTTGTTTAGCCTTTTCTTTACCTTGGCCCTACGACGACCCATTTCTAATGGCGAGTAGTGGGGACAAGTAGAGAGAAGCTTTTAAGGTGATGAAACATATTTCATGATGGGCATGAGTGAAGAGCGAATCATGCTTAGTTCTCATAGGAATACGATGTGTTTTATTTGATGTGTATATTATTTATTTTATTATACTCATGAGACTAACGCAAAGGTTTTCAGTATATTTTGGTTTTGATGGCGTACAATGGTTCCAAGTTGTAGGTTAATTTTGTTTGACTTTACCTTCGTTTGGTTTGATTTTTAAAGTTGACTTGTTTTAAATGATTTTAAAGATAGTTTTCCGCTGTATGAGTCTTTGATATTTGCCTTAACCGTTTTTCACAATGCCAGTGCCGGGGGATCGTTTGGCGCCAAAAGCCGGCACGGGGAGGGGTAGCTGACAGTGAGGGTGGTTGAGGAGGGTGGGGTGGCTGGAAGGTGGATGGACGTTGGTTGAGCCTTACTAACGGAAGTAGTAACTAATTATGTTAAGTAGTACTCCCTCCGTCCCATAATATAGTTCCTATTGTGTTTTTTTTCACGGTATTTAAGAAATGTGAGGAGAAGTGGAAAAAGTACATTAAAAGTGGAAAAAAGCTAAACAAAAGTATAAGGCAAGTGGATAATTTACGGGGAAAAAAAGTGAAAAGTACAATTATAGACAAAAGTTAGATAGAGAAAGTGGAAAAAAATACAATGCAAGTGGATAATTTAAGAGTAAATTAGGAAATTCAATGAATAAAGTTAAAAAAAATTGAGGATATAATGGTCTTTACATACTATCCACAAATAGAAAAAAGAACAACATTTTGGGTCTCTAAAATAGGAAAACATGAACTATATTGTGGGACGGAGGGAGTAGTAAAATCTATGTTTTTTGCTTTTAGGTGATAGTAAAATAAAAAAAAAAAATTAATGGGTAACAAAAGTAAAAGTGGTGTATTTTAGTGATAGCAAATGTCAAATTAATAACACAACCTAGGTAAATCCTAATCTAATATAGTTATACACAATTACAGACTATACAGTAATAATATCCCACCACACCAAAGACAGCTTTAGTTGCCGTTTAGGCAGGTAAAGACTACAGTACTTTATTCGATGAAAATAATGACCATAATGTCAGTGCTAATTATTGTTTTTTTAAGGTTCAAAAAGATTTGTAATTATTATCAATATTTATGCTCCACACATGTATACGCATATGCTTAATCATATTGTACACAATACATAAAAAGCAAAAGCTTAATCATATAATCTACATTAACTTAAAAGCAATTGCATAAAAAATTCTTATGTACACAAAACCAACCTACTTCATACATACTCTTTAAGTTCCAAATCCTATGAAATAGTGAACCAACTTTTATATTTCCAAAACACAAAATAAAACATCAAAACACAAAAATGGAGTTGAAATCCTCCATTAATGAAACATGGAAGCTCTTCTCACTAGGAACCTTTGTTGGTTGCCTTCTTATACTCTTAATCCTCGACAAAAGCCACCAAAACACAAGTCTTTTAGCTGCTAGAAATGCTATGCTACAATTTGGTCCTTTCAAAATGCTAGATTCGCCAACTGATGAAATTATCCACACTTTGGACTCTTCAAATTTTAACATTACTAATCCTATCGATGCCTCAAATGCTACCGCTCTTACTCCTACGACGGATGATCAAGTTTTCGCCATCGAAAACGTGCCGACTCCGATTAATCAAACCGAGAAGAAGTGTAACATGTTTGATGGGCAATGGGTTTATAACACGGATGAAACTCCTAGTTATGATTCAATCAAGTGTCCTTTCCTTGAGGAGAAGATGAGTTGCCGAGTAAACGGAAGACCCGATTTCGAGTACGAGAAATGGAGATGGGAAGCTACTGATTGTGATATACCATTGTAAGTGTATTCATTTTCACTTATACAAATTATACCAAGCTAACATCTAATTTTTACTTCTATCATACAAAAACATTAACTAAACCAAGCATGCTCGGTGGGGATGGTGAGGAATTCAATTTATAACTTTGAGATTATAAGTTCGAGCCTCATCATCTATCTATCATCTACCTATACTTGGTAGTAGGGGACATATTATACCAAGCTAATAACTAATTTTTTACCTCTACCATTCAAAAACATTAACTAAACCAAGCAAGCTCGGTGGGAATGGTGAGGAATTTATCAACTTAAGACTTTGAGATTATAAGTTCGAGCTTCACCATATACCTATAATTTCAAGCAAGGGATTTGTCCTTCTCCTTATCAAAAACAGTTAACAAAACCTACTCAGCATGCTCGGTGGGGATGGTGGGAATACAACTAATAACTTTGAAATCACAAGTTCGAATCTCACCTTCTACATATGTTTGGGAATAACGGATTTATCTTTCCCATTAAGGAAATTAAATTTTTTTTTTTTGGGCAGATTCAATGGAACAGACATGTTAGAAAGGCTGAGAAACAAGAGAATGGTAATATCAGGTGATTCATTAAACAGGAACATGTGGGAGTCACTAGCTTGCCTTCTTTACACTTCAATTCCATCTTCTAGAGTTGAAGTACATGCCAAAGAAGT